TTTTTTTTTTTTTTTTTTTTTTTTTTTTTTTTTTTTTTTTTTTTTTTTTTTTTGTCCAATTCTGCTAGACGAGACATTCAAGTTTGCCACGAGAGCACCAACGAAATAAGCAACTTTGACGGGAACGAGTTGCTTTTGAAACATCGACGTATTGTCCCTCCAATGCTATGCGCACTTCTCGGTAGTCCGAAAAAAAGGCCAACCCTCAACGACCTCCACTTGAAAGCACACTTCAGCGAAATTATTCTTCCACCTTCGATACCCCTACACAAATAATAGCTGGGGACGAGCGAGTGTTGGCTCATCCGCGGAGAACCCAAGTACCCGTACTAATTCAGATGGCTCGAGGACCACTCAAAGTCTTTTCTTTTTTCCTCTCCGCGCTACTCATAGCTGGTAACTAATGGAGCCTCGCGTGCGTTATTTCAGCGTATACTGCTCTTCGATAAATCTTTCGATAAAAGTTTTTCAATAGAACTTCTCTCGATGTGCTGATTATTCGATAACGGGAGCTGACACGCTGATTGGAGAAACAGCTAGATTATCAGTAATGGAAACATGATAGTGTCACCCAATACCCCATTGTACGGTTGTTTTGTGCCACACCAGTCCGAACTCGGAATTCGGGAGGGTGGAGGCATCGATGGAGATTCAAGCCATCTATGCTTCATCCTGCGTATCCTATAAATTATTAGGATGCGCTATGTGTACAGGAATAGCCTCTCCATTGACACGAATGTAGGACCAGCGGTAATACAGTACTGGGGTAGCTCCCATCATACATGTATGATTTATCCATTGGTGAATTTCCGATTCATTCGAAGATTGACTTATATGTGCTTGACATTGTGCTCGACTGCAGTAGTTTGTGAAGTGCTAAATACATATTTTGAGCCAATTACAGTTTTTTTATTTTTTATTTATTTGCCGATTAGACGCATTAAACGCCGATTTCTTAACAGGTAAAACTTAAATGGACATGCAATCATCATCATCAACTTAATTAAAAATAGTGAAAAGTTTTGTACTAATTTATAGTTTTAATTATTTAATGCTCCGGTAATCAAACAGAAATTTAAAATATTACTCATTAGCACGAAAAAAGGATGCTCGATTAAAATTGGGTTGATTCGTGCGATCATTGCAGCGAAACTTAGACTCGTCCCTCCAGACGGTGCTGTGAAAAGAGTAAAAATTAATTTTTCCAACCTAGATATTGCAATCCGTAAAAAGATACAAAAGATCTTTTCGATCCGCAAAAAATAAAGCACCCGCTTGACCTTTAATTTTCTCCGTTGAAATATTTTCCTACAACTCTTTTACCGATAGCCTCCCTTTCCGTGAAGTCCCACGACCCGCTTTAAAAAACCAAAATGACAAACGCATCGAACGCAAACGCAAGATAAAGCACGCCTCGAAGCGAAAACGAGCCTCCAGTTCTCGCATACGCCCAGATAAGCCTATACGTAACAACGGTGTATCTCCTATCTACATCCTGTTGTCGTGGGATACCCTCCAACATAAATCCACGCGCGCACACGTGCTTGCAAGCACAACGATGGACTAATGGATTACAAATGCTTTCTGTTTCAGACCTTCAAGCATGGCTTTCCGCACCAGCCGATCTCCATGGCCTACGACCCGGTCCAGAAGCTGCTGGCCATCGGCACCAAAACAGGATCCCTGCGGATGTATCCTTTTTGCCATACATGAGCTTAAACCGATATCTAGTGCCCCCGATATCCCTCGCGGGATAGAAGCCGGGAAAGCTTGGGGTGGGAACAGAGGTAGATAAAAACTCGAGTGGGTCGTTATCCCCCGCACTTTTGTTCGCGTGGTGATGCTTGATTGGAAACGGGACGTTTTACGGGCCTCGAGAGGGAAGCATCAGTCTGGAGATCATTGGCGTGAATTTGAAAAGCTCTCCAAGAGTCAAAAGCTCGCAACATCGCGTGCCACCGGCTGATTGCTTTGTTTACACGGCCCATGCACGAATATCGCGTTTGGTGTCACTTTGATGATGTTACGCGGCGATAAACTCGGGGAGTGTGTATGTATTTGACGCGGGGGAGGATTTTTCCTGCTCCAAAAAAAGGAAAGGAAGGAAAATCTTTGGTATGGAAAGGATACGGCTGCTGTCGTCGCTTGGGTGGGGTTTTGCGCGAGGAGCGTCCCAACTTTTCTCGTTAAGAGCGCTACCGCCGACTTGACTCCTCGTGGAAAATCGAGAGCGGGAAATTGAGTGGCGTTTGTACAGCGAAATTTACTTGGGTCGATGGAACCACGGGTGACCTAGAGCTTTGCAAATGATCCTCGGTGCAGCCGTTGGAGCCGAGCAAAGTTGCACGAAACGGCCATCGGTAGCTCTGCTCCAGCCAAACTTCAAATAATTATTTTAAGTCTTGTCTCTGATGTACGGGAAAAACAATACCAAAATTTTATGGATACTTCGACACTCGAGTTCATTTATTATTGTTTTTTGTGTACGTAGTGCGAGGGTAAACATTGTCGAGTACTTTATATATTCCAATCCTTGTCGACGCCACGTTATTAGCAATAAAAGTTGTGGCTTCACGCAAAGACAACGTAATTCAAATGTGTATGGATAATTGCCTCGAGTAACCGAGCGACTACCTACCACCTTAATGTAATTATGTAACTGTACATTTAATATCTCCTTGCTCCTGTACACGTAACGGAAACTATACAGTTATCGGGTTGTGGAATTAATAAAATAAACAACGCGTGTGAGCACATGGAACGGCATTAGTTGATTAGTACATATTATTTATTATCTTGACATGATTTTCACGCACAATTAGTTTATTTCGTTGATACGTGCAGTCTATACACAACAAATGGGTACTGTTTATTCCTTCGGTATAATAACCGGTTGAGAATTTTCTAGTCTTTTTTTTTAGACCATTTCATTTTCGAACACCCCTAAATATTTGTTATGCATCGAGACTGTCTTGCCACTACTCACTCGCCCTGGATACATATAAGTGTACGTACGTTTATATGAATCGACGAGCGATTAGTCATCGTAAGAAACATATCTACTGTTTGTACTGCAGAGGCCTCCGAGGGTCAAGTGGCTCCAGAATCTAATAAACGTCACTCTTCCCCGAGGCCCGCGCGCGCGTGGGATTTAATTGATTCGATTGACCCGTACTACGTGTGTATGTGCACATGTACGCGGCCGCTGATACGAGAGTTCAAACGTCTCGAGTGACGATTCACGTGTACCGACGCTCCGTTGGGAAAGAGTGAAAAAAAAAGTCAATCTCTTTCTCGGTAGAGCTGATGCGAGCGTAAGTGGTTGATAGCCGCTGAGATTTTGAATACTTAAAATTTGATCCGACGGGGATTTTCCCGACGGCGAATTTCGTCGGGGGGGACTCGGTGCGGATGAGCGTTTTGAGGAAACATAGCTGTAGGTACGCCGCTGGAGGGGGGGTAATGGCGTCTGACGGAAAGGAAAATTTCAATTTGGAAATTCCACAAACCCTCTGCGCGTTATTGCTTATATTGGGTCAACGTGAAAGATTTTTTAATTTTCGATCCAAGCGTTTTTCGTTGGTCTTTAAGAACGAGCTTTTAACGACCGATTTTTCAATCAGAGAAAAGCAGCGGCGATGATGAAAAATAGTCCTTGTGGCATCGTCGAGCCACACGTTTTAAAATCCAAGGACCATCGGGCATTTGCATTTTCGTACACTCTCGGAGCCAAATAAATACGGCTCGTTATTCGGGTCACGGGTTTTTAAAGCTCCGATCCGAGATATTGAGCTTTTCAGTCGCTCGCGCGATAAAAGCCCACGCGCTCGTGTCCGACAAGTGCACAAGGTATCCATTAGTCCTCGGGAGTCGTCATTAAATCGTACCTACTCGCGCGTAAATTTGCACTTACGAAGTAGAATTAAAAAAAAAAAAAAAAAAAAAAAAAACCTGCGAAAGGATGTGTGTGTTGTCTGATGGAAAATTGGAAGGGCGCGGGGGGCATCAGTTCTGGATTCGATTTTTAATTACGGGTGGACTTGAGCGCGAGGCCGTGAGGGGATGAAAAAACGGCTGCCTCTCTGCTCGTCCCTTTTTTTCCATCACGTGCATCGGGTTGATGGATCGGCCACGTGTGATATACCTGCCTGTCGATAATGCGCGCGTCTAATAGTTTTCCGCGGACGCCGGGGTGTCGTCGTTCATGGCTTACGCTGTCCGGAGCTAAATGTACAGCGAAAAGTGGTCCATGCCTAGGCAGAGGCTACGGAAAATTAGTTGTGCGTTGATTGCAAGTGCGTTTGCTTAAGAGAAAAATTAATTGAAAATCAATTATTGCTCCCTGATAATGGTCAGTTTAAACGCGTTTATTTCAATGGTCAATAATGTATCGACCAATTGAATCGTTTCAGAGAAGGAAAGTTGTATAAAAGTAAAAAAAAATCATACAAACGATAAAAAAAATATCTACTTTTTACAAGATGTTTATAAGAAGCATTTTATGGAATTTTAGTGCATTTCGAAGTGATTTTTGTTTTGTTCTACTTGTTGTGTTTTTTCAAAAATTGATAGGTGTCCTCAATAGCTTTACCAATCAATATTATACCATTGAGACACTTATTTTTAGTTTTTCTTTACTTGATGAAAAATGTACTTTTTCAAACTAAAAAAGTTTTAAAATACCTGAAAAATTCGTTTTTTTTTCTACCAAATACAACTTTTTCTGTGTAAAATGTACGTTTTTTTTCATCTCACGATAATTATAAAATATACGATCAATAGTTTTTGTAAAAAGTTACTCTTTGACACTCAATTCAATTAGTTTATTATTTCAAGATATCCAAAAATAAATCATATTTCTCATTGAGAAGCAAATTGCAGTATTTATAAAAAAAAAAAAAAAAGATGCATATTCATGCACAAGTTTTTCGCCAATACCTGCCCTATTTAGCTCGAGCCAACATGTACACACGAGCCAAACTCGTTGCCAAGAAAATTTTATGATTCTCCCCGAGATGTTTATGTTTGCCGTACCATCACCTCCACACATACGCCCACACACAATAGATATTTACCGTGACAAGCACACGAGCCGAGTGCGCGTTACTTATCCTGAAAATCACTTTCTCCACTTACACTAAGGTATACAGTTTACAAGCTTCCTTTATGTCTATCTCTCTCTCTCTCTCTCTCTTTCTCTGCAGTTTTGCTCTTCATTTCGGTTTCATATAATAAAGTAAAGTCACCTTACAGTTATTTGTATAGTAGGACCGTGCAAGTGTCGCGTGACGCGGCGCAAATATAGCAAAACTCGTTAGTTAGAGACGACGATAGTTTTATTTAACCATTTGTTTACCTTAATGGCTTGTTCTAGAAGGTGAGGCTACTAGCTTTGCATTTTATTGCATAGAGTTTGGATGTACTATTCTAAAAGAACAACGTTGAGAACCCAATGCCATCGAGTCATGGAGATTCATTGGTTTTCCGTATTTGCTTTTTATATTTTTTTGTCAGTTGAGTACGTAAGCTCACGATTGTTATAGTAACTCATTAATTTAACTCTTCGGGACTGGTGTATTATTTCTGGACTCGTGGCTATGTTGTAAAATTTCGAGACCCTTTTAACTCTGTGGCCAACCAATAAGGCCCTTCAAGAATAATGTACGTACACCACCTGCTTTAACTTCTCCTAAATGACAAAGGGCTTCAATTTTTTTCTAAAAACGTCAGCCCAAGCAACTTTACGACCCCGTAGTCACGATAAATAATACACAACACACGAGAAAAAAAAAATGTATTAATCCATAAAAGGAGCTTGCGATAAAAATGAATCACTCAAACACTGGGTCTCGCCGTAAAGATCCGCGAGATGAAGAAAAAAGCTTCAATCCTCTCCACGCTGCGGAGCATCCCATTTAAAATCGCAGCCAGTCAGCAGCACTAACTCCTCGGCTCGGGCTGAAAAATATCACCCCTTCCATTTATTCTCACCCGCGTCAGACGCACCACTGCATCCCCCCCCCCAAACGATCTTCCCGTGCCAGTGGCAGCAACGAATTATGTACACGTATCGAGTGAGAAATAGAGAGGCAAAATTTCCTTGACTGTATCACCTACGATCGCTCGAAACAGTTTGGGCGCGCCCGGGGTGGACGTGCACGTCAAGCACGAGAGTGCCGTCCTGCAGATACAGTTCCTGGTCAACGAGGGCGCCCTCATTACGGCCACCGCCGACGAGACCATCCACCTGTGGAACTTCCGGCAGAAGGTGCCCCAGGTCGTGCAGAGCCTCAAGTTTCAGCGGGACAAGTGAGTACCTTTTTTCCTCTTTCCTCAACATGAATCGGTAGCTCGATCTGCTTTATCTTGTCACAGTTTTTTTTTTTTTTTTTTTTTTTTAATTCTACTTNGTGCATGCATCAATCATTGGTCCTCCTCTTATTTGGCCACAACTGTTGTTCCCCCTCTCGTGTGACGCGTTCATCACGAAAAAACAAATGGACCGATCGCGAGTACCTTGATGTGTGAGGACCAAAACTTGGGAATTTGTCTTGCAGTGTGTGACGATGGATTATTGCCATTATCATAGCTCCTTCGAAACATCCCTTTTGACTCCCCCAGCCAAGCCAAACGACGTTCCAGAAGCCTCAGCCTTTATCGAATGGCCCTGAATGTATAACATTCGGTGGTTTGGTCCCGTTTTCCCTGCCTCGTGGTCGCATCGGCGAATATGGTATACATCCATTAAACTTTTTAAAAAATATCCATAGGCAAACGTGGTCCCCCAGTCGTGCTGTATTTCATGGATTATCTCGCTTTCGTCTTCATCTTTCCCCCATCCGGTGTCTTATCCGCTCTTTGCATGAGATTATAAGTTACAAGCGGAGGAGAGGGTGTCCCCCCACCCGCAGCACACAAATATCACAGCACATGAGCAACTGTGACATATATATATATATATATATATATATATATAGGTGGAAAACGCCGGTCTCCTTGCGCGGGAGTACGGTAAGTAAGTATACGGCGGTGGGAGGAAAACTTGGCCCTCGCTTTGACTCGGTGCAGCGCTACAACGGGGAAAAGATGCCACCGGCCGTAGTAATTTTCGAGATGTTTGCTTTGTTCTAGGGTCTCGTCTTCTTTCCTCTTGGGTTTGTCCCCTGTTTTCTTTCATTTCGCTCGAGTCGCTTGGTTAAGGGGTCCACAAAGAAACGAGTGCTTGGGTGGCGAGCTTGGAAAATTAACGCAAGCTTGGCTATCGAGTGCATGAGCGATTCCTTCCGTGGGAAAATTTTTGTTGAGAGTCGCACTAGAAAATTTCAGTTTGTGTGACGTTATCCGTTAAAAAAATTTGAGGTTTTTTTTTTCATTGCAATAAAAGTGTTTTTGATTTATGTGGCAATTACTCTAAAAAAACAAAATAGTTGTATCGTTTTTCCCAAAATTAATGGTATAGAGTTCTTCTAATACTTCTCATCTAAAATTTATTTTCCATTTTTCGAGAACTCTTAATTTTTGTATTTTGTTGAGAAAATGATAAACCAAGGCCAAACGTAACCTCGTAAAAATTTAACGACTCCATGTAGTGTAACACTGTCCGTGTTCTCACAAGTTGTGATTGACGGCCGTAGTGTTGTTGCATTAACAAAGCATGTATTCATTAAAAATTTAATTTGAATTTCATTTTTTTTCAATCCAAAGTGCGAAAGTGAACTCGAAGATTTCAAAATATTTATTGTACCGCTCATACGTACAAAGTTACGAAAATCTTACATGACCATATAAGTTCTGTAATCAACGACGTAATGACTTTATTTTTAACTAAATTATGCGACTGTTAATAATTAGCTCAACCAGTTATTAACAAATACATATGCCATTCATTTCTGCAACGAATGCGACGTATGGTATTATTATTGAAGTTTGCGTAACAAGTATAATGAATATCGCAGCTTAATTGCGGGGACTACTAATTATAATTATCTTTTTAATAAAAGTGCTCCACATAAATTTCATAACATTTAACGTAAATAGAGATGAGTACGAGTGATAATGAGGCTTCCAATTACTCAATACGTAAATGCAGTCATATATATATACAATATATGTTGTTGACTGTTAATTAATTCAAATTTCATTATTGTGCTACAGTTTATATCAGATTATAATAATCATACATAATAGAGATTGTTATTTTAATTGTTTTTGAGATTACAGTCATTATTTAGTAATTTTGATATTCTACTGTTTTCAACAACACATGACATCATTGTCTTTCCATGGTAATGATTAAACAGCATTGGCAGAAAAATATGCAATAAAATACCAAATTGTCGATTACAATCAAAATTTTCGTGAGTAATGATAACAGATTTTAGCAAGTGAACTCTCGAGTATCTGTTTTTATAGGATTACTTTTGTTTACAAATTAGATTAAACGTCAAAGTTCCGTGTATAGTACTCCTTCTTGTCAGTGACACACATCAAAGCCCTTTAAATATAAATTCGCGCTTATCTTGAAGTTACCCGAGGAATAAGTTATCAATCGAGTACAGTCAAAAAACACAAGGGTTGCTAAGGATTTTCACCTGTTTTGGTCGAAATCAATAACGACTATGTGGTTGGCCAGAAAAAAATTACTTAAAAATCCAATCTTTAATCGACGAAAACGTGTAACGTTCACCTTGGAAACCTGTAAAATCGAACACAACGAAGCCTCAGGCACAATATATGAAATTCAATATTCGATAAAACATCCATTGTGAAAATGTTTTAATTCGAAAGAGCCATTGGATTTCACGAAAATCATGATTGATGGACAACGAAATATCCCTTGGGCGTATAGTTTTGATAATTTTCAATTCCACTAATGAAAAAAAAAAAAAAAAAAAAAAAAAAAAAAAAAATGAACCTCAAATACAACGCATCGATGGTCCGTACAACAATTTCCGAGAGTCTCGCAAAACCTTCTGATTTTACGTGCCAAAACTTCCTCACCTCCTTGACGACTCTCCAGACAGTAAAAAAGCGAGAACGATCACCATTAGCGGTACTTAACAGCCACTTGTAGACTGAGCAAAAGAAAAGATGAAAGAAGCCAAAAGGAGCTCCGACAGAGTCTGATATTCCTGCGATGCATTGCTCGTCGTCGTTCACTGCAGTTAGCGGTGACATCCACGAGAGATGTCGGACAAAATATACACAGGGCAGTTGTGGTGCATATGTCGCGCGTCTAGTCGAGTTTCCGATCGAGCAGTTTGCAAAGGGCGCTGATGATCAGTGTACTTACACACACAGAGGGACGCGTCGTATACGGAGCAGTGAGCCGTAGGTGTGATACGAGGATAGAGCTCGGCTATGTGCCTGTAAGCGACCTGCTTGCATGAAAGGGACTCTGTGTAGGTAGTCTGAATCAACTGTTTATTGTATTCGCGTTGCTGAGTTGGGATGTATATATTTGTGTGTACAAGGGCGTTGCGATGTGAAGAAAATCGTGAATTGATACGTGGTTTTACTGAAGGACTTTTACGTGTGTACAAAAACACTTGTGGATACGTACGTTGTTGGAACGAAAGGTCTCAAATACAAAGTGATTATTATGATTTTTACGAGTCACGTATTTGAGATTCTTTCCATTTAAGAAACGATAGTCACGAAGATAAAAAGGTAGAGTAATTCAAGGCTCGGCAGCAAGTTGTGGTGAGAGTGTAAAATTAACGTTTTATCGATAAAAGCTTTTTTCTTTTTAACACCATAATTTCAGTTCTACAAAACAAGTTGACCTTTATTTTCATCAAGACATTTGAGATGTTTGTTAAGATGTAAAAAAGAAAAAAAAAAAAGTATAATTTATTTCAATACGTGAATAATATTTGAAAAATACTTGCAATGCTTTGTAGACGAATGAAAAAAGAAAGGGACGAGTATGAGTTAAATAGTATGCAATAAATCTAACCAAAACGCAATGTAAACTTAATCTGTTTCAAGTTCATCACGATGATGGAGAGTAGTGCAATCACACAAATAATATAAATATTTAAAACAGCTGTTATGAAAATAAACGATTTAAATCGTGATTTGACTTAGAAAGTAGTGGTAAGAGTTAGAGAAAGCCATCCAATTTATCTTATTAGTTCGTAACAAGTACACCATCAATACTACTTGGGACTTAAAAAAATATTTGTTTGAAACACATACCGTGTATTATGTTGTACCCAAGATATCCCAAAGCACCTGGAAATAATAGATTCCTTCCAAGTCTCGAGGTCACGCGAGCGAACGAGGAAAAAAAAGAAGTTTTCACAACTTTTTTCATACACAATGAGGTGTAAAAATTCCTTTCAAAATTTCCAACACTCGCACGTCGTGCCCAAGCTGCACATACAAACGCCTAATGCATAAACCCATCGGTCGTAAAGTTGCGCAAGTTGTACTCCAACGCGTGTGTATTTTTTTAATGGGAAAATTATCATGTCCACCAAAGAAGCATAGCAGCTTGCACTTTTTGAAACAACTACTGCTCTCTAAACATCGTCCTTGATGTGCACGTGTATGTGTGTATATGTGAGATTACAGATCAGTTCGCTCGAGAGTGGCTTTTTGTGTTCTTAGCCAGAGAATAGCAGCTGAAAGATAAGTCAAGTGCGTTTTTGTATACTCTCTTGCGTACCTCACGCAGTGGTAGGTTTTAATTAAAGCGAAAAGGGTGAATACGGATGACTGTAAGAAAATTGAAAATAAATGTTTTGTCAAAGCATCAAGTAGTAAGACTAATTTTTGGCACACGTTTCGAATATATTATGATTATACATCCAAACTCTTACAGGTTCACGATTTAAATTTATACGCAACTTTAGTTTATATCTTCACGTACGATGAATTGATTCATTTATAAATGAAAACCACCTTTTTGCCATTGAGTAGTCTAATATTTGAATAATAATGTAAATCACACTTTGTCTTCGATTCGTACGACTTTAACATAGAATATATCCATAAAACGTGAGCAGCTGAGAAATTCAGTAGAAACAGTCGTGTTTGGTTAGACGCATGATTTCAAAAAGATATCCATCAAACGCGAGTGACGGAGAAATTCAGTAGTAATGGTCGTGTTTGGTCCGGCACGTGCGTTTAAAAAAGCGCTCAGAAATTCAGTAGTTATAGTTGTGTTTGGTCAGACGTATGCATTAGAAAAATATCCGTAAAACGCAAGTCGCTGAGAAATTCAGTAGAAACAATCGTGTTGGATCCAGACGAACGCTTCGAAAAAGATATTCATCAAACGTGAGTGACTGAGAAATTCAGTAGAAATAGTCGTGTTTAGTCAGGCACGTGCATTTAAAAAATCGCCCATAAATTCAGTAGTCTTAGTTGTGTTTAGTCAGGCGCATGCATTGGAAAAATATCCATCAAACGTGAATGACTGAGAAATTCAATAGTAATAGTCGTGTTTAGTCAGGAGCGTGGATTTAAAGGCACTTATTGAGAACAGAGCATTTTTTATACTTAAAAAACAAGATTTTTAGTTTGTTACGTATATTTCACTACCAGTGCAAGACTTTATTCACTTGTTTGATACAATTATCTAATCGTTTAACGTAATTTTTTTTTTTAATTTTCAAAACACGACACATTAAAAATCCAAGTTTCATGCTTCCGACGGCAGAAAATTCCATAAACTCAAGATCAAGGTCGCGTTGAAATTCTTGTCAAGTTTATAAAATACATAAAAAATTTTTAATCGCAAAACGCTTGCCAGCTATGATTTATCGTCTTCGTAAACATTTTAACGATCTCCCATAATACGGTTTCCACGGCTCGTCGAGTTTATCGATTACAAGTAATAGCTATAAAAAAAAGATCAAACAAGAACTCCCCGATTTAATGTTCACAATGCATTTGAAAACCAATACAGCCATCGGAAATTAAATAACCGAGGAAATAAAAAAAAGTCGAGAAAAGCTTCGTCTCTTGAAAAGTAAGTACACGTACCGAGGGATTTAGTTGCGAGCCTAAAAAAAAAAAAAAAAGGAACGAAAGTAAAATGATCAAAGAGCCATCGATCAAAAGCCGCACATACACGAGTAGGTATCCTCGCGCGAAAGCGACAGTACACACGTAGTCCCGTTTTAATTTTCGCGACGGCTGCACCTACTTGGCACCGAGCCGCCTCTCGAAACGAGCCCACCAACCCAAGCCCAAGGCTGAAGCCGCCACAGAGAGAGAGAGAGAGAGAGAGAGAGAGCTCCCTCCGTCCAACACAGCCGCGGACGCTTTATCACAGCCCGTAAATTTTCAAAGCCGGCCCATCTGGCGCATCGGTGCAATCGATCGCTTTGCTGGGAGAACTTTCGAAATCCAGCCGAACGGATCCGAGCCAATACATCACGCTCGAAAAAATGCATATCAGCTCTCAATGCAGCCGACAGACAGACAGATAGGCACTCAGGGGAGGGAAAAACAAAGCACACCACGTTCGGCACAGCTGCAGCTGATACATACAGTATATGTACACATAGGGAAGGGTAACACTCGCCTTATTCTGGCTTTGAGCCCATCGGCGTGCACGCGCGCGCGTATCTTGTACAACAAGCGTGTTGTACACCACCACGAGCAGCACGCGCTCTGGCACAAGGTCAAGGTCACTGGGTCACGGGAACGAAGCGAAAGTGCGGCTGCTATGCTTCCGGGGCACTTTTTCGCCGGCACTACGAGGGGAGGCTCTCTCTCTCTCTCTCTCTCTTTCGTCCTGAGTATGTCGAGTGCGATTGCACGCCAAAAAAGAAGGGGGACGGGAGCGAGGGCTGAAATTAAAAGCGGACGTGTAGAGATGGAACAGCGGGCGTGCTATCCATGCAGGCATTTTTATCGTTAAATTATCTGGTTATAAGGTCCGTGGTGACGCCAGAGGACTCCATAGGCCATCTGTCTCACCGATTAATTTAAAATTCGCAGTGCTCGTCAACACTAATAAAAAATTTTTCATCTCTTGCAGGATAACGTGCATGCATCTACCGCTGCAGAGCAAGTGGCTGTACATAGGCACGGACCGAGGGAACATACACTTCCTCCACATCGAGACTTTCGTGCTCTCAGGCTACGTCATCAACTGGAACAAGGCCATTGAAGTGTAAGTCCCGTCGTTTTTTCTTTTCTTTTTTTTTCTTTTTTCTTTTTTTTTTTTCATTACACGGACACACGCATATACGCGTCAACAAGGGAGTTTTAAGGGTACACACGAGATGAAAAATGGAGGAGGATAAAGAGCTTCTGCTCGTGTATGTACACACACACATACACGCTCAAGCGCGTGCCTGACTCGGCCTCTTTTCGTTACCCCTCTTTACGGCCAATAACCACACAATCGTATTATCGCATGGCCTGCCGGTGGTAAAAGTCTCTCTCACGTCCTGTGTTTTTATGCCTCTTGCTCCTTCCTGTGTATAGGCGTTGAATGAAAAAAAAAAAAAAAAAAAAAAAAAAAAAAAAAACCTGCGACGCGNATAAAAACGCCGCAAATCTCGTTTTACTCGTTTTACTTCGCTGACAATACTCGTTTTACGTAAAAAAGGTAGGCCTCCAAAAACACTCGACGAAACAAATAAAAAAAAAAAAAAAAAAAAAAAAAAGGGTGGAAAAGAAAATTTTTAAAAAATTTTTTTCAAAGTTTTTTTTTTTTTTTTTTTTTTTTTTTTTTCTTTTTCTTTTTATGTTTATTCACGGTCTGTAATTACTTCAGCCTGTGACGCCAACCTTTTTTCGCCGAGTAAATCTTCTTAAACTGAATTTTGTAAATGAAGTAAACAAAAATAAAGTAGCTGTGTAAGGAAAAAATAGATTGGATGCCGTCAGAGCGAGGGGCTGCGCGCTCTGAAGTCTTTTGGAGACTTCTGAAGTGTTTAAAAGACTTAGAATGACTTATGAAGTCTTTTTTAATGACTTGAAGTCTTTTTTGATGACTTTAAGGTATATAAACTCTTCAAGTCCCGGTAAAAAGTCTGAAGTCTTTTGGAAACTTCTAAAGTCTTTGAAAGACTTAGAATGACTTATAAATTTTTTTTAATTACTTCAAGAGTGCGCAGCCCCTCGCTTTAGAGTTCAGTTTAGTAGAATACAGGGGCAAGTTAGTGTTTGCTAGTAAAGTAGTTAAATGATCTTGGATTTTGAAGCAAAAATTCAAACAATAATTTAACGTGTAAAAGAAAACCAATATTTTAACATGTATTCTGAAAATTTTTTCCGAAAAACGATGTGTGCTAAACCATAATTTTCCGCCCACGTGACGACGATTGTCTGCGAATTTCCATCGACTCACCTGATATAAACTGATCATTATTTATTCATATGGTGGCTTCGCACGAAATTTCACCCAGACTATTCATCGATCGCTCAACGCGCGTAGCCTCCGATTCAAGCGTTGCTTCTGCTTTTATGTGCGCTAATAAACTTGCACGGCATAGCTTATCTCACGAAGCACGAGCGCTGTATTCGTGAGTGTTGATTAAGGCTTACTTTCATAGAGGCTGTATATGCAAGATGTTTTTGCGGACTCATTGATGCTTAGCGTGGTGTAGGCGAAAATTGAATTTGTTATTGCAATTTATTTATTTTACTCTTTAAATCCGACGTTACGTGGGCCTCAATGAATTGATAAAGATAATTAAATATTAATTAAAAGTTGTTTAGCTTTTCAACAAAAACTAGAAAAACTTTTAATATAGTTTTTGATGAAAAATTTTTTTTTTCTTTTTCGTAACTTGAAATTTATTTTCACCTTATAGTTGTGTTGAATAAAAAAAAAAAATATATGAAAATTGTTTTGAAAGTTTGTGAATTCCTGACTCAAGAACTAAATATTAAGTAGTTTTGCCAAAACATTACTACAAAGTTTCTTAGTCTTTTCTTGCAAAAAAAAAAAAAAGAAACTAAATTCTTCCGAAAATAAATACAAGTATTTTCTAAGACCTTCGAGTTACCTAATTTACTTTCACAAATTAGCAACAGTTACTGTCTCAATCTGTATCCCAAAAAATCTACTTCATAACAATTTTAAAGTAGGGAATGTAAATACAAATCCATACAACACTCGAAACGTCATGAAATCCAACAATGGAATAATCTCGCAGCAAAGAAACCGTAAAAACCAGAGAAAATTGGAAAATGTGAAATTAAAAAAAAAAAAAAATACATAAAAAATAAAAACAGCTTACACTGTGAACAATCACCCAACAAAACCTAAAAGCTACAACTCGCTGTATCCGCACGACTCGCGGGAAACAATGGAAGAAGCAGCAGTAGCGCATTGTTGATAAATGAGCCGGCAATACTGTTCGCAATGTCGCGATTTTTAAACATGCGCTCCGGTTTATTGCTATACGCCGAAGATGCGGGCTTATTATTAAACTCTCGATGATTCCCCACCAGAGTTCTATCATTATCTCCACGATAATTGTCCCCAGCCCTGGATTACATCCGATAGTCATCGTGCAAGTATTCAATGAATCATAAAGTCGAACTGCGGATAAGGGTATTTTTTACACTCATTGACCTTTTTTTTTTTTACAACAATTCATAAAACACGGACTATAGACAGCGTCAATCCAGCCTTGCTGATGATTCGAAAATCAGTTCACCCAATGGATCACATGTATGCACTTGTGTCAACTCACGGCACTCGCGCATTTACAGCGTGATTTCAAACAATATCTCCGAGAAGATGATTCAAGGAGGCAAGGAGTCGGGATATAACACGAGAGCAGAGATGTCATCAGCAGCTGTCTTTGTCTTTCGCTACTCCCAACTCTGTGGATTAGATCTCGCGGAGCTTTTCATTTGCTCGAGCTTCTCGTGCTTGTTCCTTCGACAGCGCAAGGCTTCGCTTCGCTTTTCTCGGAGCGTAAAAGCTCGAGCGAGCGAGTGTTTGTCGGATACGAGAAATGGGTTTTGCTGATACTTACGCGATACTGTGGAGAGACTGCACGCTTTAAAGTCTCGATAAAAGCTTTCAAGCTGGCTTGAGACTTTGTTCATCGAAACTTTTAAAAACTGTCTTTGAAGGTTTTTTTGTAGCCTCGAACAACTTTAAAAGACTGAAATCGTGATTTTGTGTGACTTTGGAAGACTGAAAGCCTTTTTCACTGACATATTCTCAAGTGTGCGCAGTTCGTCGGGTAAATACACTGGAATCGATGGACTAAGTATTCGTACTCCTTTTCTGTTGTCCCTTTTTCTTCTACTTCTCTTTGACTAGCGGGACTTGTTTTTTCTTTTTTTTTTTTTTTTCTTTCATCGCGTGCGCTGAGTAAATTTTGTTTTCATCATTTCGCTTCACCTGTGCCGTATCGAATGTTTACTTTTCATTTTGTCTGGTTCTTAAAGCTGAATAAATAGTTTATCGATCCTCGCATGTATGGGGAATATTTCATTATTTATTAACTGATTGTCTATGAAATGAAACATGGATAGGGAAATTTATACCTTTTCTTTTATGATAAGAATTTTTCGTTTAATACGAGTGGGCATGACAAAACAATGGATATTTATCGTTGTATGCTAAAATTATGGATTTTACTTTAGCTACGATTTATGATAGCTAAGTTTGTAAATACATGCATTTAAATAGATAATACATAAAACTACAAGTAATGTACACATTATGTGGTTTGCATCCAATACTACTTTACAATAGCATGTAGAAATATTCTGAAATTGAGGTCTGAAAAAGATTTTAAGAGTATCCTTTTCAGTCCTAACTATATCTTTTTGAATAAATAAGGATACTTGTCAAGTTTTTACGAGTACTTGCTTAGTTGTAAGGATATCATACACATTTTGGGAATCATTTATAAGGAAATACTTTATAGTACTCAAGTTGTAAATACTTGACTACAAACTCCAAAGATGTAAAATCGTACAGAAAACCTATAGCACAATTGCTATACATTGACAATAAAGAAGTGTGCCCTTAAATCAACATAAAAATAAACGTACCGTTGATTCAACCTAAAAACATTATTTTAGGTAAAAATAAAGGGTGGTTCTGATGAATCCTTCTATTTTTTTCCATTAAAAAAAAACAAGCAAAAAAGAACTAACGCACATTTGAAAACCCCTGCCGTTAATTAAAAATCCCATTTTTTGCAATAAAAACGCCGCAAATCTCGTTTTACTCGTTTTACTTCGCTGACAATACTCGTTTTACGTAAAAAAGGTAGGCCTCCAAAAACACTCGACGAAACAAATAAAAAAAAAAAAAAAAAAAGTGATCCGATGTGTTTGCAGTTTGTTGTTCGAAACCAAGTAAAGGACGTTTTAAAGTTAATTAAAAAACTTTTCCCTGTATACCGTCGGGGTAACAGATGATTTCCACCAGCAAACAGATTATCGAGTTTTTCTAATCCAGTTAGCCGTTTGCCGGTATAGACTAGAGCTGGACTTTCGTTTTATTTCGTGTAGCGTTTGATAACAAACAAAAAAAAAAAAAAAAATAAAATAATCACCCAAAACTTTACTCAAAATTTTTTAACACCACGCAATGATTTTCCACCATTACTCAATACATCCAGTACATTGTATACATTCCCACTCAGTAAGTAACCCTGACGAGGAGAGAAATCACGATCCGCACGAGCGATCCCCCAACAAAAGCTTGGCCTTGAAAAACACCTCAGCGAGCTCGTCGGGAGCCGGAAATCACAACGCGAGGGACTCTGGCGCGGGAAACCCAGTTAGCCGGCAAAATTAACAGGAAATCCCGTTCCATTGATTTTTCGCGAAGAGCCTGCCCCTCCTCTCCACCCCAAAAGGCTGGTAACCGCGACAGCTGTTGCGCCCGGGCTTCCAACTTGTTATTCGAGGAAAGCATTTCCCGCGCGACAAACCGATCGGGAGCTCAAAGACAATGTGCTCACACCAAGGGCAGTCGTTTGGTTGTGTGCTCTACGAGGGCTTAATTCGCACGTGGACGCTTGAACGGGATATTTCGAGGGTTCGAGCTGTAGACGGGAAATACAGAGGGCGGTTGCCGAGGTCTCGGGAGGGGAGCTTTTTCGATCGACCGGTTCATCCGGCTGGTGAGCTTTTCTTTTTCACCCCACGCCCGTCGATTTTGCCACGTAATTGAGTTTTTTTTGGGATTCGGGGAAATTCAGGTTTTGATTTTGAGGTGGTGGTCTACGCAGTTTTCGGATCGATGAAGTACTGGTTCTCTTGGGCAATCGTTGCTTCTGTGAGTTTTACTTCTCAGGTACGAGGAGTGGCAAATGCTTACGAAACGAGCGTTTGAATGTGTCGTGAGAAGGTTTATAAATAATAATTGGAATGGGATTCAAATGTTGGGATACGAGTGTTGAAATGAGCATGAGATATGTAGACATCGATGTCATGAATTTCACGTAATTTTTCGCTCGAAAAAAGTATTTACCGAGAATAATACCAATAAGCAATCAACATTTTCTTCGAATATTCATGACTTGACATCATCCTGTACTCAAAATTTCCAAATACAGAGTAAAAAAGAAAAAAAAAAAACTTTATTATTCGTGCGTCAAAGCTACCTCATCAATATAATATTGGTTCGGAGCTCCGTTTAATAACACATACATGGGACCCTAAATTACGTGACGCGATGCAATCTGTCGCACAAAGGGGGGGTTGTATAGCCCGGACTAACACGAAACTGCGTTGAAACTGTGTCCAAACCCGATGCTGGTGCGGATCTCTAATTAACTTTGTTAGATTGTTCCAGAAATCCTAGCGTCGAGCTACATTGACGTCGCGTGCTCAATTACTAATGTAAGGAATCGAATAGAAAGCCATTGCTTTTGCATCGCTCGATCGTGTGATCTCGCTGTGTTCTATTTATTTCGAATTTATCGAAGGGACAGATGATTTCATGGCATATTTATAATTTTATTATTATTTTTGTGGGACAGTTTTTGACGCTGCCATTCTGCCCGATGGCAAGTTGGAATAATGTACGAAATAAAAGAGGATTAAGTATTGCGTGCCTACGTATTGGATCATGTTACAATGGAGAAGTAAATTAATATAAACAAGTTGTTATTTTTCATTGCTTAAAAATAATTAAAATTCGAATTTCAATGAAATGAATCGCCACGTATTGTAATAATTTTTGCAGGTAAATATAGTTATTCATCTTAAAAACAATGTCCCTCACTCAATGGCCTCAATGGCCACACGTTCCAAAACCATATCTTTTTATAATTTTATCAATATTTAAGTACAAAAATCTTCTGAATCACAACAAAATTTCCAGTTTGGTAAAAATTAAAAAATAGCCAACAAAGTACCGTATCAACCAATAAAATGCTAAACAGATCTATCTCTTTTACAAAAGAAAAAAAAAAGTAACAACATAATCAATTCTCCATACAAAAGAGACGAAGGTCTCCGTCGCCTTATCACTCATCCCCTTGATTCTAAAAATAGAGATGCTCATACATAATTCACAAAAGTTCAATTAAACGTCGTAACAATTTAATTCCCGTGCCCCTTTAAAATCCTCGTTCTGCAACGTTGGCTCACACACACACACACATATACAGTACATTCGCTCTGTTACTCTCGATGATCTTTAGCATACGAATGCAAAAAAATGTAGGTTAACGCTTCTCCCTACGCTACCACACGACACTCGAGTAAAGACACTGTGTGCTACATCACTACAGCCTCTCTATAGCGGAAAAATAAACACACAAGTTATATTCTTTCATTGTTATTATTATTATGATTATTATTATTATTATTATTATTATCATCATTATTATTTTCGTAAAATTACTCACTTACATCAATAGATTCCTTCCCAACAATAGGTTCCGACTCTCGACAGCTCCGCCTATACGTGTACACATATTTTTCACATTCCCGTTCGATACTCAACCTAAATCTCCAACCTTCGCTTCTCTCCCTCTAAAAATAGCCCTTCCCTTCTCCGAGCTCCCAAGAGACAAAGAGAGCCCACCGGCACGTAAAAATATTCAATACTAGTTTTAAACATCTCAAGCCGGTGCTCATCTGGAAATTCACTCCAGCTCTTTTCTCCTATACAACCCTTGTTTCTTTCCTATCTCGCGGTGAGGGATTATCCAGGGGAATCTAAAAACCGCATCAACGTGAGGATGGGAGGAAAAAAAAATAAAATAAAGAAATACTATTTCAAAACCCACGTGGAATTGTTGATTCCAACTACCCTCCTTCTGTCCACCGCACACAACAATCCCAAGCACCAGCGAAGCGCAAGCCAATATACGGAAGAAAGGCGATCGAAGGTAACAAAAGCTCCCACGCTCTCACCAAGGGGGATAGATATATATATATATATATATATATATATATATATATATGCAAGATGCATCGCACCCAACAGCAGCAGCACCGGTGAAAAGTTATTTTCTCTGGCCGTTATGTCTCTCCAGGGGTTAGGGGTGGAAAGAAGAGAAAGGAGCCATCCGTGCGGAGGAGCATCATCAGCAGTGGCGGCCACGCGCAGTTTACAGATGAGCGAGCCCTCTCAGACCTTTCTCCCGTTCGATGATTGCTCCTCTTCTCCTCCTCCTCCTCCTCCTTTCCTCTTTTCCCTTTTCACGTACACGCGATACCGGCACGTGTGTGCAAGCGCGTCCTCATCTCTTGTCTCAAGCCCGTGAGCTGAATTTGCGATCCTTCGTTTTATTTTCACGCATATATATACATTGTGTGCTCCTGCTGCCACTCTGCACTGCTCTTGTTTACTATATACTTTTTTCGATTTCTGTATCCGATTTCTCCATCCGTATGTAACACTATTTTCGATTTCTATATCCGTATGTAGGTATAAGCATATACGTGTCTGTGATGTTAGGCGTGCCATAAGTAATAGCTAAAATATCTCTAGACGATTGTTTCCTGCATTATTGTGTACGTGGCTGATCGCACGTAAGCAAGTGAAAAAAAAAAAAAAAAACAAAAAACAAAACAAGTAGTTGGACTAGGGGTCCTGTCCCTAAAATGTGACAGGAGTTTTTTGAAGGCACGTCCTCCGTTACAGAGATTCTTACAGCTTCCACTTGTTTTAAAGAATGTGGCGAGGCTCACGATCATCTTTAGATTTTATGGCCTCCTAACTTTATTTGTTTCATAAAATCACTGATTTGACAGGATGCCAGTGACGAAAAAAACGTTGTCAGGAACAAGATTGCTCTCTGCAGGCTATCTGCAGCGAAACGTGTTCATTTGTTGTACTATATAGTTGCGGGTAGCCGGGGAATGACAAGTAGGAATGTGGCGGTGTGTACTGTGTGGTTGATTTTCACGTCGTCGGTGATATGTTGACGTTGACTAAAAGTTTCGTTTCGAAATGATACCGCACTCTGTGTGTCCTAGGTTGCCTACGATTATTCTAATTATCTCGTGTCACTTGTCGTGGTATTTTTAGCATTTTACATTTCAAGGTTGTTAAAAATAGAATTTGAAACCAGTTCTTTTTCAATTAATCAAAAGTATACTCTGATCGTGTATCAAACGTACTGCATTTTAATTAAGAGAAATGAGAGCCATATGGAAAAATCATTACCATTCGAAGTTGAAGAACGTTTATAATTATTACTGACGATGGGTAATATGAATTTTAAATCATTGTTAATACGTTACCTACAATTTTCCTCATTATTCATTTTCAATATTCGTTGATACATTTGACTCTTGTGGACAATCAAACTCATTGATGCGTACTACAGAATATTAAAAAAAAAAAATGTATGAAATTATTCGGACGAATTCATTTAATACTTTGTTTATTTCATGCTTCGTTTTGAATACTAATTTATTTAAATTGATAAAATACGATATTTACATGATTTTCATAGAAATTTCGGAACGCTAATTCTGAAATATAAAAAATTTACTTTATTAGTTTACAATATACTTCAATAAGATGTTATAATTTTTAAAATTTTATGAGAAAAACTATATTTAAAGTATTGAATCTAATGGTACCAATAGTAGCGTAAAGAAATTTTATGAATTAATTCCCCTACATGTTACACATACATTTGTCCTTCGATAATATTTTCTGAAACACTTGAGCAATTAAAAATATTCGATATAAAAACGTTTTTTTTTTCATCATGCTCGCAAAGACAACACTTTCATCAAAATCAGGTTAACGATAGCGTGATACATTAAACAAGTTCTCTGAAACATCTACGTATTATACAATTACAATTGAAAAAGTTACAAAAGAGCAGCGTCAAGCACAAAGTACTAATGAATACGACACATTGTTGGTTCACAGGTCGAGGAAGACACACCCGGGCGTCGTCGTCCACTTGAGCGATAATCCCTTGGACCTCAGCAAGGTACGTAAACTTTCCATGTTACATGCAGTGGTTGGAAGTTTCTTTTATGCAAGTGCGCCTCTGTCGTGGTATGAATAGACGAATTCAAAAGTTGCGATGTAATTGACGCTCGGACGAATCCCACGAGCCGAAGCGTCGAATTACATCAGCCAAAGTAACGAAGCATTGTAATTTCCGATGGACCCTGCTGGCCATGCATTATACAATTTGCCCTCGAGGTCAGCTGGAACTCATGTAAATTCTCGTATTGGAGCTTGCGGAGGGTCCAGATCTCTGCTGCTGTTTCTGCTGTATACCCACCCCGATTTGTAAATCGAGATTTATTGTACAAGTTTCTGACGCAGGAATATTACTTGATATTGGCATGAAATACTATCTTTTACATTGTGGATTATATAAGCACATTTGCCGGCAAGTGAAAGGTTTTTTAAAGTTGGTTGCTTAACGTGATGAGTGTAGCTGCGTTTCAACTTATACATAGAAATGCTGCTGATACCTTATAACGTGGAATAATAGATGTATCGGCCATTTAATTAAAACCATATCTCTAGTTCAAACGAGTACGGATTTCTGTTACTGATGTGATTCTGATGATACCGCAACTTATGAAATTAAATTTGTTAACGTTGGACTCGGTCAAAGCTATGCTTTTTGTTATTTTAAAATAATTTTAATTAAAGTTTATTGAACGAGTGATGGACACACAGACCAAAGTTCCTTTTACTTCTGATTGTAATTAAACACATTACGACTCATAATTATTTTGTGTATATTTTTTTAGATTATTTATATATTTTTTTATTTACTGCTTAGTATCAAAGTTATACAAAACTTTCTCTTCATGTATAAATTTTCTACAAAGACTAATCAATCTTTGCAATGACTCTTTCAGAAATAGGACTGTGTTATAGTTGTGCCTAAGTATTTGGTAAACATTACTTTGTAAGATGTATTATTTTCTTTCTCATGATTTGATGAGTACGTTGGAACTAATTAAAATTCTGAAAAACTCATTTTGTGCTCTACATAATACAGTTGCAAGAAATGTGAACAAAATTTTTACCAAAAAAAAAAAAAANAAAAAAAAAAAAAAAAAAAAAAAAAAAAAAAAAAAAAAAAAAAAAAAAAAAAAAAAAAAACAATAAATAAAAAATAAGATGGTTAGTTGTGAAAAAGAAATTGTATTATTGAACCACTACCAGGAAGCAGGCCAAAAAAACTTTTAGCCCTGAATGAAAAAAAAATATCTCAAGGAAATTCTGATTACGTACACAGAAAGACGGTCCCAAGAAACTCATCTTATATTATCTTTGGGGAAGCAAAAAAGCGAAGACAAGATCAATCTATCGATCAAACTCACCCAATTCCCAGCGTCGAAATGTCACTTGTCACACGTATATTATATACATAACAATAAAAAATTCCAAAACAGACCAAAACCATATCTCAGAAGAAAAGAGCCAATCTAACATCCACAGTATAGGCGGAAAACCGAAAAGTTCGATCCCTTGTGCGTATCTTTTTTTCCTTGACTGTCGATCGCCCAGTGTTTACACGTACCGAGACACACCTATAAAACTCGTAGGGCAAGCATCTCCACTACAGCGGTGAGCACTGCTTCCCCTTCGTATTATCGGCCGCATCGATACATCATACTGACACTAAGAACGAGGAAGAGGAAGAGGATCTTTTGCTCGAGAAAAATTACTAATCGGCGAATGAATTATTCGAGGAGGAAATTTTTCTCGCTTCTGGGGCTGTATAGTATACAGGTACTACCAAGGGAACTTTAGGGAAGATAAGTCGAATGGGTGTTTTTTCCATCACTTCCTTTCTTCGATATTTATATTTATACCTACTGGGCTGTAGATTACTCGAATTTGTAAGCTGTCGACTTCTTGCATATTTAATACTGTGCCGTGTATTACAGTCGTATAACAATATTACGCCGATCATGGGTATGTACATCATTAGGCCAGGAATAATGTATGAAGCTGAAATGAACATATCCCAAGCTGCGAGACCGACCCGATACCCATCAGATATATAACTTGCACAATATACACTGAATTTGGCAATATTAATTATTAGATACTGCAGTTTAGTCATGATGAAATGACTTTATTCAATTTTAACGTTAAGATTTCATAATTTCAACAAAAGTTACTAATGGGAGACAACTCGAAGCAATAGGTTATACATTATGATTTAACAATTTACTCTAGCTTTCTAACAATCAAGTAAATATAATCAAGAACTTTGGTCTGGCAGCTTAAAAAATGAGTTTTCGTGAGCAGCTTTTCATGTCTCTAATTGATTGGCGATTTCTCTGATCAGTATCAAACAGTAAGGAGTTGCACCTGTCTAAATTCGTATAATTTGCAGTGAGCGGGCTTATCTAACGGGTGTTCTGTAGATTTACGCTGCTGGAGATGTTCGCTAGTTTCAAAGTAACTCTGTGTCCAAGTTGTCCAAACTTCGAAGCCCTAAACGTTTTTTTCCTAATTGAATTACTGTCTGTTATGGTTTTTAAAGTTTTTACCGTGATTTTGTTAGATTTTTCTGAGCATTTAATTCGGTCTTCAAGTGGAAGCATTTTTTAATTTTGTTAGTACAAAATTTTACGTTTATCTGATAAATAATTTTTTTTTTCGGATTTACACTCTTGAAAAAAGATACACGTTCAAAAGTTCTTATTTCACCTGGATTTTGCAGTATCGTCTATCTCAGCCATGTCGTCCATCTCGGATGCCAGTCATTGTCAGAAAAGCATTGAATCGTGCATGCTTGTGTCTTTCAAAAGCAATTTTGATCTCTGCTCGCTGGTTCAAACGTGATTGTGATGTTTGCATGCGTGTTTCATAATGTATGCTCACCTTTGTTTCAATTCAAAGTGTGTCATTGTTACGTATGTACACCAGAAGGATCTGAATAGTATCTAGTATCGACCGTGCAGTGGAAACGAGTATGTTGTTTGACAATAATGTTTTTTTTTGTTCTATACCTTTTTTTTAGAGAATGACTCAATGTACAATGTGCTTATCAGGGAATTTTAAGTAATGGTGCACTGTAAATCTAAATGTTTCATAACTAAATGCCTTAAATTTTCAACACAAAAAAAATCAAAAAGTTTTTCTCACCACGAGATGGACGCACAGTTATAAAAAAATAGAAATCATATAAATTGTCTTAATATATTAATCTCGAAGGTGTATCTCACGAAATGTTTCTTCAATTTAGTTTATAGTTTACACTTATGGGGTAAATGATGTTAACGTTATTGATGAGTTACTTCATTTCCACGCTTGAGACTAAGAATCACAAGACTAGATATTCTCATGTGCAAAAACAAAAGCATCTGTTTGATATTATAATGACTCGATTGACTTATCATTCGATAAAAAGTATCTTCGTTTTGTCACTTAGCTGTCATTCAAAGTTCAAAATCCATCATCCAACAAGCGTGTTTGAATGGAAATGCGTCTAACCGAGAAAAAAAAAAAAAACAATCCTATTCAAAGTGGAAAAAAAACTCTACACCATTCGCGGTGTAAACACTATCCAAACAAAGCACGAAAACCTCTTCTCTCGCACATCAGACGTCAACTCGTTATGTGTGCGTGTTTCCAGCGTCAAAGTTTGAGTCAAACAAAATCGACAGTAAGTGAGGGTATCTCTGAATATTCATGAGCCTGAGGCTGTCAGAGGAGCACTATCGCGTGCTCACACGCGCGAGTCACCAGACAGAGTCGAAAAAAAGCATATATTATTCTTCTCCCCTCGCCCAAATGTTTGACACAAACGTGAAATTCATGTGGCGAACAGTATTGAATCGTTTGTTTTTGTTTGCAGCTGCTGATTGGCTACGAGACCGGGCAAATCGTGCTGTGGGACCTGAAGCTGAAGGCCGCCGAGTTTCGATGGCAAACGGAGGAACAGTTCGGCACCCTCAAGTCGATATCCTGGCACCACGAGGGCAAACAGTTCATGTGCAGCCACAACGACGGCTCCCTCACCACGTGGACTCTGCGGCAGGCCAAGCCCGCCAGCGTCACGCATCCGCACGGTTCGTTGGGTTTCTCGATGATTTTATCCCCACCTTCCGTTAATTTCCCAGTGAACGAAAAAACCCATAATCAAAAGGTCCTGCTGCGATTTTTTTCTCCTCTCAATTGCGCAGTCACTTCGTGGATCGAGTCGAATTTCGCGTTTCGTATCTTAGCGTGTGCCAGTGGAAGTTTTTGCTCGCCTTACTTTTCGCGCTTTTAATATTACACGTCGTTCGCGTTCTTGAAACTTTGGAAAGTGTACGTATGTATAATTCGGAGATCGAGAGATACCCGCGAGGTTTTTCTTAATTTCTTCGCGAAACGTGTTTATTGTTTTGCTGCTAAACTAAGGAAAAAAAAACAACGTTTAATACAATGCGGTATGAAATTAATCGTCTAAAAGTCCTGTGTTTTCTTTCGGTACTAGATTTTTTGATTCGTCGTTTTGCCCGTATGTTCGAAGTGCAGAGGAATAAATAAATGAATAAATAAATTAATCAATGACAAATACGATGAAAGTGCTCCGTTTAAATTAATTTCAATGTTGGACTGCATAATGTATCACATCTTGAAAGTTGTCGCGTATCAAAGTTTCTGAACACTTTAATCAACAAAGCAGAAGCTCTTTACTTAATACTTAACAACACCAGAAGTATCAAACTTTGGCGATACAGCAATCGTTTGGCAAAAAAACAAGCTTTAGGCCAAATTTCACGCTACAAAAGTATGTAATATGGTCTTGTTTTTTAAAGGTAAAAAAAAGTCGTTATGTAAATACTTCATGCATCTGCAAGAGAAAGAAGGTTGTGCAGGGGCGCTTGAATCCTTGCCAAAATTTTAGCACGCTCCGACACTTTCAGCGAGAAAAATTCGATGTGCTACCAAATATAACAATAGAGTATGACTTGCATGTACGGAAATGCCTCTTTTTTTTTTTTTTTTTTTTTTTTTCATTTCAAGCTTTTTTTGGGACAAAATGAGCACTTGCATGTAGATGGAATTATGTAAACACTTCAATTACAAAAGTCCGTACTTGGATTTAGTCTACCAAATGAGAAAACGTACCGTATGTACTGTTTAAATTAGAGAGCGTGAAATACCACTATTTTAAAGATACAACTAGAATAATAGTGACAATTCTTCCGTTCCATACAAGCATAAAGTTCACTTCACAAAAAATAAAAATGTTGTCTTGTAAAAAAAAAGTGATGCCAGCCGATCATATAAATGTTACACACGGAATAATTTTATAGTTTCTTAGCACTTTCACACAGTGTAGTTTATGTGTGATGTTACATCTGGTTTTCAGGTTGTTTTTTATGACAGTAAATTCTTTAATAGCACGATAAAAGATTGATTCCTTGTTATTTTCTGGAATACTGTAGAATAAAACTACCTCAGGTAAAATCACGTTATGAGATGAACACTGTATTGGACAGCAACGAAAACTATTATACTTGACACTTTGGCACTCTGGCAGGGAGAAGTAAGTTGGTATTTTTAGGATAGTTACTGTTCAAAAAATAAAAATCAGACAAGCACAATATTTTCAAGTAACAAAGCTTTCGTTCTGAAAAAATGCGCTCCCAAAATAACACTTAAAATTCCAAGCACCACCACTGTTTGGAACCAGTTCTTTTTTAAGAAACACTGAAGTGTGCTTGAACTTCCGAGGTAGCACGTGTGGGCCGAATATTCGTTTTTTTGTTTTTGTTCTATGCCCACACGTCAAATACGAGTAACATACGTCGAATTTCAATTACTTTGAGCGTAGTTTTCTTTATTCGCCCAAATGGAGCTTCGATCGCAATTGTTTGCACGCAAATTCGAGTTATTCCATTTTCCGTGCAAATTAATTTCACCGATCTATGCCTCTGCTGGGACGCGTAGGTACGTGCGATTTATTCGAAATGTTTCGAAACTCGGATTAAATCGCAATGGGCCGCGCGACTCCGGTGAAAAATAACAGCGGACGAGCTTTAAATTCTTTATCGCCATAACGTGGTATTGTTTGAGTAATGTGATTTAAAGGGGAAACGGTGGTGCGGGGGAAAAATATTTTGATAAATAGTCGGGGTCGATATATCTTCTTGGGCAAGATGATACCCGATATATATTATATATGATGTAATTGTACGTGTCTGTATAAGATTGTGATTAATGGTGCCAACCAGCATTAATTAAAGGGCGACCGAAACGTACGCCACTTATTGATTTTTTCGTCTTTCATTAGGCACTAATGTTATAATCGATATTGCGGACTGTACTTGGATACGACTACTGTTTCATTGTACCTTCTGTTTCCTGCATTGTATGAAGTATATACTTGATTTCCGAGCTACTTTGAAAAGGTATTTCCCATTTATTAAAAAAAAAAAAAACTAAAGTTTGACTAAGACGCTCATGATTTATTTTTTTTTTCTTTTTAAACTGAGACGTTGAGTGATGTTTTAATGATAAATTTTAAGGTAACAAGTGGTATTTTCACAACATGTTTTTGATGGTGCGAGTGCCTGAGAGAGTTTAATGTGCAAAGTTCAACAGCTTAAAACAAGATCGTAGAAAAGTATACTTTTGTCTTAAATAAAAAGAATAACAACGATGACAGTGTAAAAAGAAAAAAAAGGAAAAAAAAAAAAAAAAAAAAAGAGATCCCGATGACAATTTTCCAGCTATCGTGACACGTTAATTACATTCGTATCCCAAACGCACGTCCGACAAGGACGATATGAATACGAGAAAAGAAGAAAATCCCCCTTCCAAGAGCGTTCAACAAGATTCCCTTTTGAGATGCAGATACACGCGAAAAAGGAGCGTGGAGCTCTCGATCCTCCTCCCCCTTTCCCCCCTTTTATCTCGCGACTCCAATGTTCTCCTCGAGAGATCCCACCTCTTTTCTCCGTATATATCCTTGAGTTCCACTCCGGCCTGACACTGATGTTTTTTTCATTCTTTTTCTCTCTCTTTCTCTGCCAACAGCAAAAAACACGAAGGACGAGCAGCCGGAGCCCTGCAAGCCCATTCAGAAAGTCGAGTGGAAGCTCTCCAGATCTGGGTAAGTCTACCTATTGCTCTCCATGTACCATATACGTGTCATGCAAGCAACTGTACTATCTCTCTCACACACACTTTTTTTCGCTCGCTTAATTACCCGCGTTGGGCAAACGGTGATTCAATGAAAAATTCAAATGAGAGTCAACCTGTCGTGTGAATAGTTCCCGTATCTTGAGATCCAGATGCGTGCAATGAAGAGGATGTGTTTTTCTTGTTTTTTGTCTTCACACACTCGTTCATGGGAAAACTCACTGGTGGCAAAAATACGACCATTTGGTAGTATAGTACACACTCTCGCTTGCCTCTCTCGTCTTACGTGCTTATTTCATAATTACAAGGGTATTAATGCTTCGTGTACTTCATGTTTTGATAAAAGTGATGGGCTCTTTAGCATTTTTTTTTCCTTTACTTTCTAGTGGAAAGCTACTCATATGGTTTTGGGATAGAGAAAGAGTCGTTTGAAATAATAGGTATAACCGACTTGTTAGCGGTAATTGACGGCTGAAAAATTTCAACTATCGTGCTTCCGACGAGAGGAAGGAATCATCATGTTAATTGAATGAATATTTTAGAGGAAAAAGGAGAAAACGCACGATGGAATAATTACTGTCGCTTTTGATGCGAATGTGCATGGAAAAAGAAGAAAAAAAAGATGGGATTAAAAACTCCCGTGCTGGCTTTTTTCGAGTTTCCTCGGTAAACTGGGTTAATTTGAATCTCTGCAAGGTTGGGTATTTTTTTTTTTTTTAGAATTTCCCGCTTTTTTCTGGGAAAGTAACTGATTTCGGCTGCCAGAGAGGTATTTTGCGGTTGTTTCGAGGGCCGCTAAAATTTACTGCGGAATTATGGCTGCGATCGGGTTTAGTTTTCTTCGAGAACGAAAGTTTGTCGATTTTCCGATAGGAGCTTCATTTTGCGGGTAAAAAATTACGTGCTTCCCCAAAGTTCGAGTTCATTGAGAAAAAGATTTATTATACTTTTTATTGAAAATGCATCAACCATTAATGGAAACGTTGATTTGGAAAAGTATACTCTTTGATAAATCACATGCATTTATACTAGGCTACACTAGATCCCGAGCAATGAAACATGGTACAAAAATTCATACAATTTTGGGTATAAAAAATAACTGTCATCAAAGTAGGACGTATGAATATATTTAATAAAAAAACATTCCATGTCATTATTTATTGGCCTTTTTGTATCAAACTTTTATTTTTGTCATTTTTTGCACCGATATCCTTCTTACTAAAAAAAAAAAAAAAAAAAAAATATCCATACGGCATACTTGTTTTTAGGCAACGCTGTCTAAGTTTTTTATTTGTAAAGTGAGAAAAAAATTTTAAAAACTGCAATTTTTTTCATGAAAAATAAAAAAGTTTAAAAAATACGTTTGAATCACTAGTACATGAAACGGAAAAAATGAAGCCCTAAAGTCACAAATCCAGGAGGATGAACCCGGATCAACAAAAGCCCCTTCAAGAATGGCTAGTTTATTAGAGTATCGACATTGGTGCCCGCGTTACATCACATAGGCTTGAAAACGCCTCTTTTGTTTTCCAATGAAAATTTTGTAGCCAAGAAGAGCAAATTCGCAAGAGCTATTTCCTTTTCATGTTTAAACTTTGGGATAATCTGATGTCCAGAGGATTAAATAATTTTCTTATTTTAGTTTGTGTTCATTTATACGCTGTGAATCCCACTGTTATCAAATTAAACAGCTTAGGGTTGCTCGTTAAGGGTGAAATAATATCTATTGTTTTTTTCTTTTTTTCTCACATTTACAAATCTTATCTCTGCCACTGCCTCTACTGCCTTGCTGCCTAAAAAGTATCAAGGACACATCTCTTACGGACATACGAAAATTACACCATCAAGTCCAAACATAGTCCTTTCCGCCTAACATTGAATCAATGATTGAATTGTTAAAACAGTCAAACAAGAGTGCCCGTCCAAAAATACTCGACAAAATACATAATTTTTCGACAAACACGCTTGCACCGCCCACTTCTTCCTCAAAGGTTCCATGTCATGTTTGATCCATCTCTCTAAAGGATAACATTCTGTCTCGAGTGCCAAGGCCACCGACGTAAATCCAGCAGCTTTCTACACTCCGAACCTTTGTACTATTCATCACTCCGTTGCGTCATTGGCAAATCATCGGATTCATAATCCACAAGAAATGCCGACAGATCGCGAGCCAACAGTCATTTGGCACTCCTCGCAGGCTCTTTGTGTCGGAATGTCAGCAGTGAACTTGAAACTCTTTTTTCGCTTCGGAAAGCGCAAACCGGTGGATGAAGAAAGTGTGCCTCTCTTACTCGTTACTCACAACTCGTTATTTATTAGCAGTGCAATTTTATTACTAAACTCTCGCTTTGATGGTTCGTGCAATCGATTTGATTAGGGGGTGGCTTGTTTATTTTGTTTCGACAAACTTTTTTGGCCATTTTTTTTTTTAGTTAAGTCACGATTTCTATGTTGGTAGAATTAAAGTTGACGATTCAACATACTATAGTTCAAAATGATTTGGAATTCGTGTAAAGTAGTATTTAAAAATTCATGAATAAATTTTAGTAGTAAAGTCAACGTTTAGTCAGACGTAGTGATTAATGGGCTACGTATCCAGTTAGTTTTGTAATAATTATCTTCTTACTTTTTATGTAATAAATTCCTAACAATCACAAGCTTTGATTAGTAATTTTTGTGTCAACTTGTAATGACAACAAATAAATATTGCGTATCACAAAACTTTTTCACGGGATACTATAGTATTGAATGAAAAAAAGGTGGAAGTCATATTCAGTAGTAAAATCAATGTTTGGTCAGACGTAAGCTGTAATCTATTTTAATAAGAGTTTAATAAAATTTCTATTAAATGACAATTTTTTCCTCCTTTACTATTCTAAATAATCGCGAGCTTTTGAAATTCGAATTATTTTACTTATTGTAATATATAGTGGTCTTTATAACAAGTTTTTATCAACAAAAATTTGTTTGCGTAATGTTAAAAATTTTTTTAGTTCAATATAAAAAATTGGGGTTGAAGACCTTATACTGATATTAAGTAGAAATATCAACGTTTGGTCAGACTTCAGTTTTACATTTTATGGTAATTTTTGAAAAATCTCGAGCTTTTTGATTCAAATAATTGTACCTGTCATACAGTGAGAATACCTTGTTATTAACCATCAGTAAAATTCGATTGCCAGACTCTCGCTTTGATGACTCGTTGCGCGTGATTTCTTTTATGTTCGTATTTTTGGTCATATTTTTCCAGTTATTAGTTTACATCAAAAGAGAAAAAGTGAACAAGCCAATTATACGAAAATCAAAGAACGATTTCCAAGTTTTCTACATTACTCGGCTCAGCGTGCTTCGTGCCAGGGATGCTTTACGTGCTTTATTAACGAAACAACTAATGCCAGCTATAGTGCAGAATACGTTGACCTAATTGATGACTACAGCTGAGGCTTTCGCGGTGATTCCCCGTAAAATAGTAGCTAGTGGACTGATAACACCCGCCTACCTATTTTGGCTGGTAAGCCATGAGGTTCTTTAACTCTCTAATCATTGTACGGCCAAAATTTGTTAGGGTAACAGTATCTGCACCACATTTTCTACGAGTAAAAAATCCAGTGCCGAGAGAATTTGAAAATGTTGAACAGCAGTAACAAAAAATGCGAAAGCATACTTTGAAACTGGAAATGAAGAATTCATTCGTCATGTCGAGTAGGTTTGAAATCAAACTCATTCAATTTGGTGCACAGTCCCATCCCATTCTCAAAAACACAGCAGAGAGCGCATTAAAAAAAAGGGAAAGGTACGAGGTGACATCAATAAAGCGTCTATACAAAATCTCGATGTATTGCTTGCAGGGAAACGTACGTGGTGTTTTCCGGTGGTCTGGCCTACGAGACGACCGGCAGAACGCCAAGCATCACAGTCGTCCAGGGCAAGACGACCACCGTCCTCGAAATGGAGCACAACGTCATCGACTTTGTCACGCTCTGCGACAGCCCTTGGACTAGCGGTACGTACATGTATACCCACACCCACACGGAGCAGCTCACCACCCATACGTATCTGACAAATCCACCCACCCACTTCCTCGCACCACTTCTTTAGCAACTCGCTCGTGCATCCACCAAACACAAACACAGAATACCTACATAGAGTCCGTAGCCGCAGGAAAACCGGACATCCGTGATGCAGTTCCCCCAGGCTCGGCCTTGAATGCACGCATTCGAGGTTGCGGTCGACGGGGATGCTTTAAGGATAACGATCGAGGGGTGCTCGCATATAGCTTCTAGGCTCGCGGCCAACAAAGCGACCGATGCAATGTATCCCCTGCGCGTGGCTCGAGCACATTGGCATTGGCATTGGCATCTTCGTCGCCCGATGTTTGCTCTGTCGCGTAACTTTATCGTACACCGCTGATACCGAAACTTTAGTGATGTGCAAATTGCAACTGCCCCTTCGACTTTTGCGCGCCCAAACGTAATCAAGCCCGTGGTCCGGCGTTGACTGATCGAAATTTCACGTGAGCGGGGTTTGATCGGCCCGTGATTCTTGGTGCGACGTGAAATTGAAATTGACGGAAGGATGATTATTTATCGGCGTTATTGGCTCCGACCTCGGCGATGGTGGCGAATGATTGAAAGTTTCCTCGTACAGGCTGGACAATCGGTGGGGCAGTAGGCTTCGAATGTGGTTTCAGGGTCCATGGGGACGCATTTTAGGAATGCTGGTAAAGCTGTGGAATGATAACGACGATTCATTAGATGGAAACGCTGGTGCATCGTTTATGAAAGGGTCGCCGGGAAGTAGCGAGATTGTTATCGGTGCATAAATGTACCACGCATCGCAAAAAAAAAACAAAACAAAAATTGGGTTGGACAAAATTTATTTTAAACACTTTGGTAAAACGTCTCTACTGATGATTCGTATAGTGATATAATCTTGACTTTTTCAATCAGTGAGTAATCGTTGGTTCAGAGTAGGAGAGCACCAAAAACTTTTGCTAAACTGAAATGACCTAAATTGTTTTTTGTGATGCAGCTGTTTGTCGGGGAACACCAGGTGAAGCTGCTCGAATTGAAAAACTTTGAGTCGGTCGAAAATAGGACCACAGTACGTTTTCAGCTGGAGAAAGCTAAATGCAGAGACCAAGAGAATGCAAAGTTGGTCCTCTCGCTCGTGTAAGAACTTTGAGTTGAATTAATATATGAGACACAACAGTGGGCGTGTAGGGGATATCATCTTGTTCGGCGAGGCGCCCGACGGCCATTCGTTAGCTCGATTCTCGGAAAGTGGCCAAACTTTCGAGCAACAGCTGAAATGGCTGCGGTTCGGGCAGAGAGTCGAAACGAGGCTCCCGCGAGAGCTTCGCAAATTATTTGCCCTGTTGAGGAGGAGAGAAAAGATACGTTCGACCATTATGGGAACGACGCTTGAGGTCTCCTTGCGTCCATAGCAGTAATAATACAGAAATAGCCATTGATCCGAGGATGCATTGATCCTCGAGGGTAAAGGAGAAGTAGGCCCGAGAGAGACTTGCTCTTTGTCTGCAGAGCGATGAAAACAATGTCCAAATATCGGGGTCTCACTGCGTTTTTCTTTCACAGACTACCAGGATCCGTTCGCGGTCGCAGTGCTGCTGCAGAACGACCTGGTTGTCATAGATCTGCTGACGCCGGGTTTCCCGTGTTTCGAGAATCCATACCCGATGGACCTGCACGAGTCGCCGGTGACTTGTTGCGCATACTTTGCTGACTGTCCGGGTGATCTGGTGCCAGCGTTTTACTCGGTTGGTAAGACAGGGAGCAAGAAGACCGGTTTCAGCGAGCACAATTGGCCGATTGCTGGTGGAGAGTGGAACCCCAACTCCAGCAGCTACAGCGAGATTATTCTCACAGGGTGAGTTTCTATTGTTGTTGTTGTCATTGCTTATCGTGTATCGTTTTCATCTTATTCTTATTGTATGTATATTATCATTTTTTTCATCGAGTATGATGGAAGTATGGCATTATTGACCATAAGATGGACTAGTCGAGTATCCGTCGTGTCGTCGAGCATTGAAAATAAGTTTAATGAGATTAATTTTGGGTTGAAAAATAATCCATCAAATTCAGTTCCTTACACAGTCACGTTGGTTTAAATTTTCTGTTCGTGGTCGGTCTTACATGAGAGATTAATTTTTGTAGTTAAAGTCAATGGAATTTAAATTATCATAACTTGGATGTTTTCACAAGCCCAAAATTAAAGTAATGAAATCTTTAAACCATTATCTCTCCGTATATTTTTTATGTAAATCAATAGTTGACACTATGATACGATTTGAATTTTTTTTTCACCCATAACATTAAGACAATTAAACTGTGTAGTAGAAGTTCCTATTTATTTTGGATCGGTATCCATAACTAAACTCTTAAGTAATCTGTATTTGAAAATTTAGCTAATCGAGTAGCGGTGATGCTCGGAGTTAAGTAATTTTTAGGTGAAAAAGAATTTCAAGAATAAATTTTTCTAAAACTCGATATCGATAAAAACCATCCAATTAAAGTTGAATGAAAGTTTCATCAATCTCAAGACTTTTTATAAAGCTTTATCGATTGGCCCTGATATCGTTTGCTTCTTGAAGGAATACCGTTAGAGAGCTTCGTCTTTAAAAGCAAATTCATTACCGGGAAATTGATGTGCCTCTGGGTGATGTTTCACTTTGATACTCGGGACATTATTTTAAGTGAGATTTCATTAAACTACGCTCTTCTTTGTAAATTGACACATATTCAATTACGTCTCGATGGCACATACCATTATTACTGTTAATCAATTGTGGTACGCAGAAAGACGGAGCGATACGCAATTTCTCCCAAAGGAAAATTAAATATGCATAACACGATTTGTATCACCCATAACAGTAGCACCAAACTTCGTTTACATTGATGTATCGATTTTCTCTACTTAGTATTTAGAAACATGATATTGTTTGTGTTTTATTATATTACTCTAACGGTAATATTTAACAGACACGCGGGCATAGAAAAATTAAAAACTCAGTTGACCTGGTCAGCAGAGAGTTATGGAATAAACTTTGGTTGGCGGCAGCACAGCTAACTGTGGAATAACGTGTTGAAAACCCGCGTACGTGATATAAACTAAAAACTCAAATAATTTCACGTCAAGTTGTCAACTCTGCTTTCGTATACATAAACGTGTGCACCCATCACATTAATTAGGAAAATAAAAATACCTGCAACAATTTTAGAGTACATTATTGTTATTTTGGGCGTATTCACGTTAATTCATTATTAGTAGTATATTTTTATTAATATTTATAACTGCTGCATTTAAATAAAAGATTCTTCAAGGTAAATTTACATTTTTTTAAAAACAGAACTCAACTGAACAAGTTACACGTATAATTCACATTTGGTACTAAATTAATCAGCATTCGATAATGACGATTTGAATACCCAGTTGAATACTATTATTAAATATCTTTTAAATAAATGTTTTTAGCAACAATGATTGGGTATACTATTTACAATTTTTTATGACCGAGGTATTATACACTCGTTGCTTTCACATGAATGGCTAAATATTGATCCGAACTATCTAAAAAAAAAAAAAAATAGTTGGATAAATTGATTACGCTTTGACACAAGTTACCTTCGAAAACTCAAAATTAAATTTTCTTCTCAAAACTTGTACAATACACATCAGTCAAAAACCCCTTTCGGCTACAGCTTCGTGGTAGCCCACAATATCTGCTCACGTCTTAGATTGTCAATCAAACCGAGCCCAAAGCCAAATTCTCCAAATATCCATTAAACTTCCGAATGCACCTTCTGGCTAACGGCTAAAACCACCGACACGTGATACCCTTACGAGCGCCCGTAATGCAATACACCCTCTAATCCACACAGGCACGCCGACGGCAGCATAAAGTTTTGGGACTCGTCGGCCGGCTCGCTGCAGGTGCTTTACAAGCTCAAGACGGCCAAGCTGTTCGAGAAGAGCCGAGGCCGGATGAGCGTCGACAACGACGAGGACCCACTCGCGATCCAGCTCATCTTCCTGTGCCCCGAAAGCCGCAAGCTCGCGATCGCCAATACCGGCAGGAACGTCATTCTCTTCAAGTTCAAGAAGGTCGAGAGCACGTCCGAAGTCGTGGTTAGTAGTCTCTTTCGTCTCATACATCCATATAACAATCTAGCGTTTCTCCATCTTCTTGTTTCGAACCACTATACTATACCTACGTGCCACGAAGCGTGAAAAAAGAAAAAAATAATTGTGTGCTGAAAAGTTTTTCTTTTTCGCGCGTATAATCGAGCTCCGAAAGTTTCTTTCGTCCCACTTTCCGAGGAAGCCTTTTTTCGCTCTCCCGTGAACTGTGACGCAACGACAGCGAGTGGTTTTTCTGAGCGGCTATTTTGGTTTACTCTGTTAAATGCGGGCTTTCTCGATAAAAACAGTAATTCGATTCAGACGTGATGAAACGATTCAAGCTCTCGAAATAATGAGATGGTTTTTCGTTCGGAGTTTAGGAATCGTAGAAGTAAGTGTGGCTATGGACGTTAACGCGACAACATAAAATAAGACTCGTTGTTTTTTCTAATCAAAAGGGACCAAGGGAAACAACAAACGGCTTTCCTGACGATAATCGCTGGCTAGTTTTTTTGGGGGATTATGTCGTCGTAATAGACACTCGTAAACGTACGAGCGCAATGATAGTCAAATGGGGCATAAACTCTGTCGATGGGCTGGGCGTTAATTTTATCCCTCTTGCCTCCCTGCCATGCCCTTACTATATACTAGAGAGAGAAATGAGCTGGCCATGTCGAATCCGGGCTAGGGCTGAGCCAACACTGCGAAAGTTTAGCGGATTTTCGGTAAGCTCGTGCGCGCGTGTGTGTGTATGCATACATCTCACGGTCAATTACTTTTCAGTAGCACATATTGCACGTGCTCTGTAGTGCTGTGTGACAAACATGGTTTTGCTGATGTTTTGAGACGAGCTTACTTCGTATGGATTTGTTTTGTGTGTTTTATGCGATGTAAGTGATGACGAATACGTCGTTCCTTATCCCTACGGATATTCTTTGGCACTGATATTTCCATTAAAGTTTTACTCTTACGATGATTCATAACATATTTTTATTGTAAGTGATTATGAAATCGTGGCTTGTCATATCATAAAACCGTTTCCAAACTATAAAGGTTTGATTTTACTTACAACCAAAACTCTTAAATAACTATGATGAAGAATTAAAAGCCGTTGCTTATTACGATAAAAACAACAAAAATATGGCAAACAAGTATCTTTAGAATATCAAGCTGTTTCATCCCTTTGCCAAAAAAATTTTCCATTGAGTGATAAAGTATTGAAGCTGAAGACTCATGCAATTCAGTAGTAATATCCGTTTTTGATCAGACGTAACGTGCAATACGTCTCATTACTTTATAAAGATAACCCACTCACATTTTTCCTTTGGTAGTTTTTTAAGAAAACTCCTGATTAAAAAATGTTTCTAAGCGTTTAAAACTCATAAACGAAATTCAGTAGTAACGTCCATGTCTAGCCAGACATGATAAACAATGGATGTTGTCACATATGCAGTTACTTTTTTAATTAATATATTCTAAGCAATCCCGAACTTCGATTAGTTAATTTTGTGTAATCGCATTAATATTTGAAGACAGCATTAATGATCACCAATAAATATTAATCACAAATCTGTATAATGGGATGGTAAGATTTAGAGTTGAAAAAGTGTAAATCATATTCAGTAGTAATATCGATATTTGGTCAGAATTAAGCTGTAATCAATTTCGATGTAAATCTCAATAAGATTTTTACTCAACAACAATTTTGTTTGTTAACAATCAGCAGCTTTTGGGATTCAAATTATTTTACTCATTGTAATATACAATAGCCTTCATTACAAAATTCTACTAACAAATGTTTGTTGGTATTGTTTTACAACACATTTTTAAGTAATGTAAAAAATTGAGGTTAAAGACTCACACTGAAATTAGGTAGTGACATTAATATTTTGGCAGACTTAAAGTTCATTAAGCCTCACTACTTATTGAATTAATTTTACTATTTGACAGGCATCTTTTCACTCTCTTTCAAAATTAGCACTGGACGATTGCGAACTGTTGTGTCTAAAACTATTATTGATAGTCAGTCCTAAACGGTTAAATAGTTTCATGACATCCCATAAACTATTTATTTGAATAATAACGGTCTCTCATCATATATTTAAGCTTTGATAAATAGGCAAGTTAAAATTATTTGTACGTATATAAATGACGATTGGAAAAAAAATTTCATAAAATACACATTCCTCGGAATTTTATCATCATATTTTTTTTGCTATAATGAGATACTGATAATAAAGACAAAATTTAGGAATAATACAAGTATTGGGTCAGACAAAAATTTTAATATGTTTTGTTACGTGTCCGATTTAATTTACGTTATAATAATTCTCTTGGTCTCTACTAGTAATATCTTAACAGTCATGAGAGTTTAGAATTCAGATTATTGTAAATTTGTCAATATTTAATGATAGAGAAGATACGAACTGATAAACATTTTTACAATTTCAGATAAAATAATATGGTTATATACAGTCGCATCTTTAGAATTCAGTAGTTACATCAGTATTTGGTCAGACCCAATATTCTCTGATAATTGTGAATATTGAGTTCTATGCAATCATGAGTTTTTTCTTAATCATATATCTATCATCCGAAAGAATGTCATTAACGATGATTCGGTACTTTACCACAAAAATTTTTTGGTCAACTAAAAGATGGATAAATAACATTCAGTAGTAATATCAGTCGTTGGTCTTTAATTTCGTAGTAGTTTTCTTACTTTATTCAATAATCAATTTTAATCAATGTTAGTTCATCGTTATACGATTGCGTTATTTTTAAATCTTCTGCGAAGCTAAAATTCAGCCTTTTTTCCCAAAAACCAATAATAGAAGTGTCTAGAAGTTATTAAAAAAGCAATTTACGAGATACAGAATATACTTTTTTTGTCGTTAGTATACTCAGCTGACCCTTCTGTGCGGAGCAGACTGCATACCCTCAAACTTGTACAAAATCTACGCAGAGCAAAATGACTTCCCCTATCAAAAACTATACAAAGTACACACAAAAAATATGTATATACATATATACATATATACATATATATATTTCGAACAAAAGAACAGACAGCCAAAAGATAACAATATCAACGAAGCAGAGGCGTGCGAGCGCGAGAGAAGCTCGTTAATCGAGAAAGTTAGGGAGAGTCAAGAAGTTTGCTGCTCTAATATCCTGTCCTACTACCCAACTATTTCTCTCTTACCGCGAACTTTCGCAGACGCTGGAGGTGTCGCTGGCAGCGAACCCAAGCAAGGACACCGAGAACTCGCCCGACTTCGACTTTTCCAACCTGGGCTGCGACGATCCCAAGGCCAACGCCGAAAAGAACCAGCCGCTCAAGGTGCGCACCGGCCTTCAGAAGCGCGCCCCAGGCTTCCAGGCGTCTCTCATCTGCATCACCATGGGCCCCAACGGCGAGCTGCCTGAGAGCATCACGGCTCTCAGTCTCAACTCGTCTTACGGATTGTGAGTACACGTGTATCGTTGTTATTGTTACGGTTAAGATTTTTTGTACGATAATTTTTGCGGTACTGAGTTTCTGTCGATCTAGCACTTTATTTCGAAGGTCTTGGTGTTTTTATGCAGCTAAAGAATTTTTTATTTGAATGTTAGGGATCGTTAAATGAATCTTTTAAAGTATTTTCTTTTATCCTACAGTTTAACAAATTACATCCCAAGTTTTGAACAATCTGTTTTACAGAAACCTGGTACTCTCTTTAACTATTTGTAAAGATTTTTATTAGTAAATAATTGATTACAGGGGTTTATAAGATTACTACCGCTTACGTGTGTAAATTTCAGTAGAGTAGGTAAACGATTAGTCATACAAATACGTTCGAGGGAATTTTTTTATTACTTCAGACGTTTTCACGTTTAATTAACTACTGCAAATTTTTCACTATACATCTTGAGAGGAATTTTTCATAATTATTTTTGAATAACAATGATTATTTTTGATGTAATAAATATAATAAAATTTCACTTGAATTAAAACATACGAATTCTCATTTGACAAAAAAAAACATCGATTTTTAATACAGAGGTTTCTTACCTATGACACATAAATTCATGTACTGATGTCATTAACACGCTAGTAATTATTTTTTGTATTCCCTACCTCTCTGCAGCATCAGTTACACTTTATTTTGAGTGAAATAAATCTCAACCAGAAAAAGTTCGTCAAGTAGGTAGAAAAAATAAAAAAAAATAAAAAAATTTGCTCTCATTTTTCTGCAATTGCACAAAGACTCGCCTACGGCAACGACGCCGGCCTCGTAGTGGTCGACATTGTACAGAAGGTCACGCTGCTGGTGATGAGCACGTCAGAACTCGGGGGTGGCGTCGACCCCCACCAGCTGGCCCTTCGAAGCCCCAAGCGCCACGAGGACGGGTCCACCGCGGCAACGGCCAAGCAACGCGACGCCGAAGACAAGGCGCGCAGTCCCAGCGTCGATCAGGTAAAATCAGACTTTCCACGAGAGACCCTTTTTCTCTCTTTTTTCTCATCTCTTGAATATTATACATACATATATATATATATTATACTATACATATACTACTACTATGACACATTATTACCTAAAAGCATACGAACATCTTTCTCAATACTTTACATACACACATACATAAAATTCCAGACACTCACACACTTGCCACACGTCACCAACGGAGGCATGCGGCCTTTTACTCACGTGTAAGCACAATAAACAAACAATCCATCTCGTACACAGTACACACCTGCAGTCATTCAATCTGTAAATACCATTCTGTATAAAAAAAAAAAAAAAGGATGGACGAAAAGAAAACGAAGAAAAGCTCCACCAGCGCTTTTCTGCAACGTGTAATCTCTACCCGTTTCGAATAACCCCCTTTTCTTCTTCGCGTCACTCGGACAGCAGCAAAGGAAGCGACACGTCCCCCCCCCCGAAGCCTTTTTCCGACGACTGTGTGACCTATACCTCCTTCCATCCCTCTCTGCCCATTATTTTTGCTGTTACTTTTTTCCACTCCCCCGTATACACTGGCTCCTCGGGCAGCGCGCTCTAATAACGTACATTTCACCTAAGCGCAGTCACAGCTCTCCTCCCTCTTTGTTCTTCGCTCAGCCACTCCCCCCCTGCGTCACCCTATTCTCTGGCAGTGCTCAGTAGTTACAGCGGTAATCCTCGGCTAGCCCAGCCTCCAACTGGCATTTTTCTTCTTTTGCCTCTCTGCCAGGCGACCGGCACGCCAGCTCTGTCCTGTCGGACGGTCAGACTTTTCTTTTTCCCGCACGCGTACCTCCTCAATTACGCTACAAAGGACGAATTACCCCACCTTCCGAATGACATTCGTTTCAATTTACCAAGCTCGAAGTCCGTTGTATCATTATCACTGATACTTTTGTTCGGACAATCTCGACCACCGGCAAAGACACTGCCTCGGCTTCTTTTGCACACGTGAATCCGTACCCCAAGTAAATGCCACCGAAAAACAAGTGCGAGTCCAGGTGGACTTTGAATCTTTCACTCCTGCAAACTGGATTCAGCTGTTAATTCTCGTTTATCCCGGGACGCTGTGGTATTATTTGCCCTGGTGCGTTATCTCCAACTCTCTCTCTCTCTCTCTCTCTCTCGTCCTCTCATCGGGAATAACGGACTTTTTCGTGTTCAATCTCCCGGCGATCTGGGTGGACCCGTTCGCGAGCTTTTTCCTCTCCTTGGATCATCCACGACTCTCGTTTGCACTTTCGTGAAAGAGGGACTCGTCGTCGAAGTGCCCGAGCGTGCTGATGGCCTTGGAACGATGTTTATTCAAGCAACCCAATGAATATCTGAAAGTTTACTCAGCTGTTTGACCGAGGGTACGTTTTTGCCTTTGTGTCCTTTGACGGGGCAGTTTTTTAATTAAAATTATGCTTTTTGCGCGAGATACCACGCGCGGGTGCACTCAAGTTTACTACTCGTATTGAAAACGTTGATTGCAAGGGAATTTTGGGTCCACCGTCGTTGGATCCAGTGGTTGTCGACGGAGACGCTTGCTTGCCTCTAGCCTCGTTTCATTTCAGGAAAAGAGAGAGAGAGAGAAATAGACCGAAAAAACGATAACGATGGTCGACACGCTTCGGAAAACGGTCGTTAAGTATTTATATGTTTTATAATTTGTGGGTGTTAAACTACTACCCTTTGTTCTGCTCCCACGTCCACTGGAGTAAAATAAGTGAAACTACTGAATATTTATGTGTTTCTGTTTTAAATGTTCTTCCGTTCGTTGTACTCCGTTTGAGCCCTCTATATTCCATATGTATACCAAATGTATGTATATAATTGCACCCACGTACTGAAAGTTACTAGAAATGAAGGACTATTTCCTCGTATTCGTCACCTACCATGTTATGTGTATGAGCAGTTCCACGAATAGACAGACTTTTCATGTGGTTCGAAAACGAAATAACTCAATTTAAAATGTTGTTTTTTAAAATTCCACAATGACCATAAGTTATATGTTGAACGGAAAAAATTGATTTATTAAAATAATACCAGCAACATTGGTATGAAACGAATTTTAATAAAAATTTTTTGGTTACCACATGGCCCATAATTCACAGTTGAATTGTTCATATATATCGAAATAGCGCAACTCACAAAAAATAAAAAGGAAAAAAACCCTTTGTATATATGGCGTAGGCAATCCATGTTTACTTTGGTCATCCGTTCCCAACCTCATTTTTTTCTCCGTAAGTACTAAATAACACCTCTTGTAGAACAACCGACATACCCTATAGTCGTATGTTTTTTCCTTTTTAAGCACACAACAATTTTCCCCGTACGATTACTCAAATTCCAAATTAATTGCCACATGGAAATTATTGCCCTGCAGTTAAGGTCAAATTGCATATTAGGTGTAACAAGTCTCAGTCATTCTTCGTTGTACACTTTTTCATCATAATTTACTACGAAAAATAAGGAGGCTCTATTTCTCATTTGTACACATTCAACAGGAAAAATAAATCGAAGAGTTGAATCACGAAAAACGAAAACAAACCGATTGAGTTTTGAAAAGAAAAATGCGGCATGAATGTTCTTTGACCTTATATATATATATATATATATATATATATATGGGTGTGTAAATAGTATGGTGGCGTAACACGACACGCTCACACAATTAATGATCCAAGTTTCTGTTTGTTGATATACGTGTGTATAAGCATATGTCAATACCTTATAAGTGTTTGAGTAGGCAGATGATTAAATGGAGTTCAAACAACACCTTGCAATGCAGGACAATATGTTGTTTCGTTGCTGTAGGTAGTGTGTATATTATTTAGAGCGACATTACCTTAATTAGTATGTTCCATCACGACCCAGTGATTAAGAGAACATTTTCCCGGCAAAACCATATGCTGATCATATTGTTCAGTTCATAAAATTACTTTCATTATTTTATTACTATTACTATTATTATTAACATTGATTTACTTCAGTTCATTTAGAACGATTCATACATACTATAGGTATGAAAATATGAGCAATCCCAAATATCTATTAAGGAGTCGCCAAAAGTTACGATTATGTTTTTTAAGGAGCATATTTAGGACATAAAATTTTCTCTTTCATATACCTTCAGGAGTATGGGTAACAATTTGTTAATACGTAAAAATTAATTATTAAATAAATTAAAAAAAATATTTTTTAAGCTTTTTGTTAAATTTCGTACTAACAGCGAAAAGTTTTACTCAGTAGGTTATACGAAAAAATTAATATGAGAATGTTTTGTTTTTGCAAGTCTTTATTTCTTTTTTTACTTCAAGTTGAGGAGGAGTCTGATAACTAATTTCTAAGATTTTATTATTAAAGAAAGAATTTTTAAATAATTTTTATGTTTCTGAAGGTGCAAAAAGAGAAAAATCTTTGTCGCTACAATACGTTTCAAAAAAATTTTCTCTTAACTTTCAAGAACTTCTAATTGGCTATCCTGACTATAAATTAAAATCAGGAAAAAGTGAGGGTTCACTTCAATTGAATGATTACTTATTTAGTTTAATTCTAGTCAAAATGTTTAGTGATATAGCTCATATCTCTGTACATGGCGTTACGCGCGTAGGCAAACTGTAGATTTGTGTAGCGTTGCGTTACATTTCGTTCTCTACAGTTCTATTCGGAGATACAGTGTAATTATACTTTTCAACTGTATATATTTTTATAAGTGCACACATTCAAAAGTGTTTAAAAAAAATCAGTGCTCCAGTGTTAAATAAATCGAAGTATTTCTTCATTTCGTTTGCACATGCTTACTTGTGTGGTGCATATCATTGCGTTATTACGAATTACTTTATCATTGTAAATTCGTCGAGTAAAAATTTTTAATCAGAAATGCACTCACATAGACAAAAGTTAGAGAGTAATAGAAGCATAATAATGTATAGTAATCGAACCCGTATAACTTTTAAAAGAAGTGCTATCCATTTGCAAATTAAAGCAATTGTTT